AACTTTTTTCGAGAGAATCTGGTCAGCTGAAAAAATGAAAATCTCTGATGAGCTATTGTATGCAAGCGTCACGATTGGTTACAGAAACATGTTTCGACACACAAAAATCAGCATTTTTGATGAGTAAAAAAAATATGTGATTTTCCCACCATATTATGTGGTGATTACATTTGTAGACTACTGGCCAGAAGATGCTGATTTTTAAAAGAACGGTCTGGAGGTCTCGTAAATAATGGGGCGTATTCTTGTTTTCGTACGAATCGAAAATCGTAAAATTTTCCTATCATTTTCTATACAGAAATTCCAAATTTTCGATTCGCACGAAATCAAGAATACGCCTCAATAATGTTTGTGCTCTTAATAGTTAAAACTACTTAGAATGTATTCTCGGGAAGCTACCGAAAAGCTCGGACACTAATGTTGTGGATGTTTTTTATTAACTAAACAATTTTGGGGAGAAAATGCAACAAATGTGGACTACGGATCACTTGGAGTTTAAGTAATCCACTTCTATAAAAATCTCACCGTCTCATTATGGAACCCTGAACTCTTTAAGTTTTTCAATTAAGGTCAAAATCAAACAGTATTGCATTTGTTTGCAATATAATGCACCCAGCACAAAGAGATAGAAGAACATCAGACACCCTTTGGCGCTACCTATTCGTCCCCTTTTTTTTTTTTTTGTTTTTCGAAATAATTCGCAAAGGTGCATACATATTTTCTGAACGCAAACTACAAACACGAATTTTGCAAGCAAATCGATTTCAGCGCCACCTGGCAGCCAGAATATTCATCCTTATGTAAGCTAACAAAGCCTAACAGGCCTAAAAATGGTGCTTACTACATTTGAGTCTAATAGGAGTCCTTAGCTTGGGCTAAATTTATACGTTTTTTTTTAACTAATTAGTAAAGTTAACAACGAACATTAAAAAAAAACTGAACGCTAAAAGAAGACAGAGTACAAATGGAAAATCAAGTTTCGTTTTATTTTAGTTGTCAAACGGTAGGAAAGAAAAATTCTTCCGCAGTGTTGATTTAAACTAGGTCATGATTTCCAAAAATAAATTTTTGGTTTTTGCTTCGGCTAAAATTTAATATTTAAACAGGCCTGTGAGGTAACACCTTTCCTTAAAAAAAAATAATTATAGAAATCGGTTATATACTCCGAAGAATTGATAACCTTTCTCCTTTTTGTGAAGTCGGTTAAAAAATATAATTACTTCAAGAAAAAACATTACAAAAATTCAGTGTGGTGTAGAAAATGGGTTTCAAATTAAAGAGAAAACTCTGTAGAATTAATGCCAATACAAATTTGTGGTGCGTAAGGTAATGTCATTTTAGAATTTTATCCTTTTATATCCTTGAAATTTTGTAACAATTATTTTTGAAAAAGTTATATGTTAAGGACTAATAAACACTCGACCACATCGTCGATTTTTGCCTCTTTAACTTTGTTAGCCTAAAAAATAAAATTGATTAAAAGCG